CGTAGACTTCTGCAAGAGTACTTTTGTAGGCGGAGTTGATCATGCACATCAACTCCGCCCATCCAACGTTGATAGTCGGTTACAGCCGCCGGGCACGGCACGGTAATTGTACCAACGCGCTTGACGTTTCGTGTAATAGTCGTCTCTGTCATTGCCGAGCCTGTGCACAGGTAATGCACAGGTTTCCGGTCCCACCAGTGAAATGCAACCATATTTGGAATGGCGACAGAACGAGAAAACGTGAACATGCCTCGGGGAGCGCTTGCTGGACGTGACTTGCGTTTCTCTTTGACATTTGCATCATATCCAAGCCGGTTGGTCATTATCGTGCCTATCACCTTCACTTGCATGCCCAATAGCTCGATAGCAAGTAGAATTGACGAATAGAAGCGGTCGATAACTACTGCATGCCATGGAAGCCGGGTGTTGGGACCAAGCACTGTCTTCAAATTTCTAACGACTGCAGCCGCACCGGTCTTATGGTCAAATGTTGAATGCTCTTCATCTCTTCTTTTGCCCGCATACAGCTCAAATCTAGTAACATACGACATAATTGGTGAGAAAGCAATCTAATGTCATAACTTACGACGTAAGTAAAAAAAAAACCTGTGGCAGTACGCGGTCCTTGAATCACACACCATAAACATTTTCGAGCCATACCGATGAGGCTTATCGGGCATGAACTTTCTAGTCGTGTTTCTTTTAGAAGTAGAAGGCAGAACACCCTCGTCAAAAGCGAACACTGCCGGGAGGGTCCACGCAATCAAGAAACGATTCTGCATTGTCTCGACTACCATTCGCAACTTCCAGAGCCTGTCTCGCGTACGCTCCGCCTCGTTGTCCACAAAGTGCAAGTCGCGCAACATGTCTTGACATCGATTCCGGCCCATGAACCTTCCAAAATTACCTGCAGGAACGGCCCCATCCTCCACCATCGACCAGTGAGCGGCAAAACGTCGCTTTTGCGGGCAGAGCATGCGCGCAATCAGGAGACCTATCACGTGTAAGATCTCGTGCGTCTCGTATCCCGGCTTTGCCTTCAAACGCCGACTAATCTGCTTAACCGTCTTCTTTCTCCGATCGTGTTGCTTTGCATGAATTCTTTCTGCACGTCTGGTGACTTGCTGAAGACCATACCGATTCGTCTCTGCAGCTATCTTGACCCATAGCGACTTGGGCATAAAGTAAAAGAATGTAAGTAGTGGAGAGTGGCAAACGTTTAGTAGCTCAGCGACCGGTCGTGCCTCTTCCATATTCAGACCAGAGTACGCTTCGACACCCTCCTCAAACTCGTGAGTGACTGGAGACCACTCCATTGAACGTAACGCGTCCTCACGTTGCTGCTTGGCTTGACTGTTGAGGGCATCACTGCCTACTTGAAGTGAGTCAATGAACGCTGCGTCCATTGGCACAGCGTCATCTTCTGACAGCTCATCCAATTCTTCAGGTACTTCACAATCATTGCCATCATCGTCATCATTGTCTTCTTCAATGTCGTCATCACTGTCTCCAGAGCTAAAGCTCTCGTAGTCACTCAGGTCTTCGTCGTCAGTCACAAAATTTACATCCTTCTTGACAGGATGACGGGGGCGTAGGACAGGACAGGTCGGCGTAGCTGGCACACGAACAGGTTGGGAAGCGTGCTTGCGTACGGGTTGGGCGTCAGGCTCACGTGTAGGTTGGGCGACGGGCACAGTGACAGGTAGGGCGGTCGGCACAGTTATAGGCTGTGCGGGCACTGAACTGTCAGGCGGGGAAGCAGCGCCAACATCCGACTGAGCGTCACTCTCGGGTCCAGATGACAGAAACTGCAGGTTTGTCGCTGCGTCTCGAAGCTCTCCGGGCGACAAATTAAAAGCCCGAGTAACTGCTGCCTGTGAAAGCTCGACTTCAGAGCTATTGCAGCTGCTTGGGGTGCCAAACAGATCATTCATGGTCTGCTGTGACAGCTCAGCACTTGTGTCGATCTGCGACGCACGTACGTCCTCTAAACAATTATCGGCGGCGTCTTTACTGGAAGTGACGGCGTCTTCAGTAGCAGAGGCAGCGGCGCTCTCGTCATCGTCGGCTACTACGTCAACAGCGACCTCATCGTCTGCAGCGTTGGCTTCCTCTGCGCTCTCCGGTTCATCCAATATTCCTGTCTCTAATGCATACGCCACCACAGCCTCCTCTCCAACTAACACCTTTGAACCATCTGCACTTACGTACTTCCCTTTAGTTTGTATCCCGGTTGGTCGCTTGTACTTCCATCCCACAGCTCGAAGTTGTCGCCAAAAGTGGCCAAAGTCAATGTTGCGCGCCACCGCAGCAACGGCGGCTGTTTTGGTTCGTTTTCCAGGCCGGATGCGAGCCATCGAGCAAATTCTGTAATGGGCTGTGGGCCACTGAGTGGCAACTGGATACTTTCCCGCGTATCCCATCTTTTCCGCGCGTCCCTGATCCCTGGCTCGTTTTTGGATTTTTCTCATTTACCGGTTGAACTTTATCGATTTCAAATGACTTGATTAAAGTAAAGGATTTCCATTTTTGAGCCATTTTCTAATGTTATTCCAATTATGTCGTAAGTTACGACATAAAAAAAGAGTCATGTCGTTAGTTACGACGTCGGGAACCAAGGGGTTAATAGTAGTACTGAGCGATATTATTTTAAACTAAAAGTTATTGTGCCTTTTGCCGTTTTCACTTCTTCAGTTTTAAGCATTCTGTAGCTTATAAGGGCTCAAGAGACAGAGGAGACGCCCCGCTTTCGTTTAGAGTGATGTTGATTGCGGTAAGTGGGTTTGTGGGATTACTTCTCGGTATGCGTTGAGGCAACTTGGCAAAGTTGTCGAGCCATCATATTACGAGAAGTTGTGGTCCAACGCTCGCAGGATTGGAGACGATGCGTTGATGGGGATTGCATTTGAAAATTACGTGCATTCGATGGCAAGAGATGGAAAGATGATCGAGTTGCAGGTGAGGCCATACGATCGACGAAAGCAGCAGCAGCATACCTATGCTGCGGCAGAGATTCAAGCCAACTCGCATCGCAACGAAGGAAGGGATGCAGTGGAATGTGAAGCAATCATGCAGCAACTGGCGGGTGTCGACTATTGGCATCCCATCGACCGCTGTCTGGTGACCATAGACAGCGTTGCCAAATTGAACTGGAGTGCGGAACGCGACGTGGTCGGATTGATCCAAATCACAAAGTCCAATCACCACACAATTGATTCTGTGGCGCTTGCCAAGTATGCGTCGCTGTTTCCCGGTTGTGCCAGATATATTGCGTTGGTGCCGGACAAGGAGACGTGTGATCGATTTCGACTTACTCCAGCTGATCCTCCAACCCAAGTGCCATTGGACGTTGCGTATATTGCAACATGGAATTTGTGAACTGGACTGAAAGAAGAAGCTCTGGAACTGGAATGATTTTTACATGATCTGCATTTTTTAGCAAATATATGAGTTACTGATAGGTCTGAATGTCATCGACCTCAATGCTGTTGGAGCTTGCTGGTATGGCTAAGCTGAGAGCTGTGTTCGCACAGATAAACTAGGAGTTGCGAGTGACCGGTACTCCTGTGCAACAATTCGTCGTACAGCAGAGAAAATCCGGTTTTGCATCACCAGCTATTCCCCACAAAGAGATACTTCTGTCCCATTGACCTTTGGCGAATAATAATCTCTACTACTATTGTAGCGGCAGAAAATGAAGGATCAAATCCCCATGGGGGGCTCAATTTTGATAAAACCAGATATGACATTTAGATATGTGATAAAACCGCCCATTTTGAGTAAGATTTTGGTGTTAAAACCGGCTAATTCGCAGCAGTTTGTCGCTACAGGCTCCCCAAAAAGGTGTCTCCAAGGACCTTTAAACGGGGAAACAGTTGCTATAATGCTGATATTCTATTGGTCAAGAGTGTGGAAAGGGCAAAACAGTTGTACAAACAGGCGTTAAAAATAAAACGTTCAAATTTAAAAAGAAGGATTTGTATATATTTAAAGAGTGATTACCCACCATCTTCCTCATGAGCTTCTTGTGGATGGTACATTCTACTAGCGAAAGCATAAAATTGTAAGATTTTCATATGATATCACAACAGAGCAGTTTTAACCCTACATGGGCCAAAACGACAAGCGCACCTCGGCGAAATTGGTGTCTGGGTCGAGGTTCCATGCCCAGAGCACCCGAAAAACTGTGCTTTATCCAAGGCGCGTCGCCTCTTTAGTTCGATCGCGCGAGTCCCACCCTCCACTTCTGCCTGCTTTGGCCTCGGCGACGAAATAATCATATACATTGCAAACTAGGGTTTTCTCGCCCGGACTGAGCTGGTGTCTGCGTTGCACTGCGCTTCCTGAAATGAAAGAGATGAAGAGTCTTAATTTATGGAAGAAGGAACTACGAAACCTCAGCTTTCTATCCGCGCCCTTTGCACTTAATTTAATATTATTTTGGTGAAGTTATCGCCGATTATCCAAAGATAATAATTTATTTTGGATTAGCTAGCCCCATCATTTTCTGCCGCTATAATATAATATAGAGGAAAATATAATTGAGCGACCACAACTTCCTTAGTTTTAAGCATTCTGTAGCTTATAAGGGATCAGGAGACGCCCCGCTTTCGTTTAGGGCCGTTCCGAACCGGGGGCGCGCCCCGAGGGGGTAGGGTAAATGCTATACGGCTAGAACGGGTCGCGATCCTGCCGTTCCGTGCCAGATCGCGCTCCAGACGATTTTGTACCACCAATCTGGTATATCTTGATGGCAGAAGTTGCCGCACAGAACAACAAAATGACGGACGGACTAAGCTTGAAAAGGACTGTGGCGGAGCCGCAGACAGCGCGCAAGCGACTTACCATCGCGCCAACGTCCGACAACTATGACGACTGGACTCTCGAGCAGATCAAGATGGAGTGCACGGCCCGCAAACTGAACGTCGTGAAAAATACATGCAAGGGAGACCGTGTGAAACTTCTTAAGACATGG